ACACAATACGATTTTAAAATTCATATTGCAATCTTGTATCGAACATATCACCTACACAACTTTATATATATATATTATATATAATTACACAGCAATCCACAGGTAAAATGTTACATTCCAAAAGTAAGTAAAGCGTTTCATTACAAATTAAGTATCAATATACAAGCTGAGCCACTTAAAACAGGCTAAATCCAAATGAAGTTCATCGCCCAGCGTTTTCTACATTAACACGTTTTATAAAATGCGTCCAAGTTCAAGGTCATCGTTTTGAATACTTGCTGTAGCAGTAAATACGCAAATAAGAAAATTAATGAAATATTTAAAGACTGCCTTGAAACAATTTATTTTCTATTACAGTCAGCATGTATCACAGCAAACAAGCTCATGATATTGACTTTTTTTCTAACTCTACAGACTCTGTTAAGTGGACTATTTGCATATTGATGAGAACTTTGTAACTTTCCTCCGAAGTGGAAAACGAACGAATGCTTCTCAGTGTACCTGCGTGTATTGTACCACGAAATACTAAATATAACACGTAAATTGAATTATTCACAATTTTATCTAGTCTCAAAATTGTAATACATGAATGATAAGCGGATGTTTATAACACAATACGATTTCAAAATTCATATTGCAATCTTGTAGCGAACAAACAATGGATTCAAACGTTGTTCATTCGTAATCCGTCGTTTTGTCACCAGATGAGAATTTTACCTATCCCTGTCTGGTCACTTTGGAGGATACTTGCTCACGGCGACGCGATCGAACGGAAATCCAATACGTTGGTACGAAGGTAATGCTTCGTTTGCAGCCGGTCTGGGATAATTGAAAGAACCGTGGGGCTGGAAAAGTTAACGAGCGTGCGACCGGTCGCATTGTTCCAAGGAGTTGAGCCTTTAGGGAAGAGCTTGAAATAATTGAGGCAGTTGGATTGGAATACCCGTGGCTGAATATGCGCATTATTCGCGGAACCGAAACGTCGCGTGTCAAAGTGTCAAACGTCCAACTTGCACCTATTTACTGAACGTCTTTAGAAAGGGGGGATACAGGGGGAAGCCACTTTAGATGCGTGTATATCATAGCTATATTTAACGATTTTTTTTGTTAAACAATTAACTTAAGATCTGAATACTGAGGTTTATTATTCATGCAGGGTGTCACAGAATTAGTGTAAGAACTCGAAATGGGGGGTAGCTGAGACGAGTCTGAACCACAATTTTCTTTGCAAAAATGTCGGATATTTCACCGACCAATCGCTGTAATTGGTCAGTGATTTTCGTTAATAATTCAAAAACGAAGCACCATCCGACATTTTTGCAAAAGAAATTGTAGTTTAGAATCGTCTCAGCTACCCTCCATTTCCGATTCTTACACTAATTCTGGGACACTCTGTATATCGAATAATAAAGGGATTTTTGCGGTACGGTTAGGTCTGGGATAAAAAACAAGGCATTTTCATTTTCTACATAATATACAGGGTGTCCCAAAAATGTTGGAAGTCTTTGGTAGAGACGGGTCGATGGGCGAAACAACTTTTTCCTTAGAGAAAATGTCTAATCCGAAAATGAAAAATCTAACCCATTGTTACAAAATAACGAAATTAGCCACCATCATGCGCCTTTTGTGACGAACCACTCACAGTTAAACATTTAATTGAAGAATTTCAGGGAATGCAGCACGATCGAGTAGAATTCAAACTTTCAAATAATATGCAGACGACTCTCAACAATAGAAACGAATTTCTCAAACTAGTAGATATATTAACGAAATATGAAATAATAAATAAATTGCAATTGAATTGTAGATATTAACGTGGTCACTAATAACCATGTAGTTGATGTGACCTTGAACAAAGTAATTAGAAAAAAAAATCAACCTCCGAATCCCTGTATATGTATATGTATAATACAGTATACTATAGCACATATACTGTGAAAGTACAAACGGAAGTTGAGAACATTTCTTTCTCTTCTTACTTCTATTCGATTTCGATTTAAACAAACCACTCTATATACATTTGAAACTATGTTATGAATTTAATAATTACGATTGCAGCATTTGAAGATCCTCAAAATTACCCTAATACAAAAAGTGACTACGTAGACAAATAGTTTGTCTGAAAGAAAACAAAATTTTACAATCCTTTGATATGTATACGCACAAGCGTGCCTATAAATATTTGATTTACGTCCATTCAATATCGAAGACACGAATACTGTCGTTCATAACCAACAACACTTACAATTTTATAGGAGCGTTTTATCGTCATTCGACGCGACTGTGCGGTTCACGTTATCGACGACAGCTGTACAAATTATCACACAGGAAGTGGTACCTACATGATCCATAAAACTCTCGTGAGACTTTACCTGGATAAGCTTCAACGATAACCACGAAATATAACGCAACTAGTATCCAGATTTTCCGTTTCGTCAGCTCTGGATAGAATCGGCAAACGGTTAATTGCCGATGCAGGTGGCAGCTGCGAGCCGATAATTGCCGGCTGGCGCGAATTCGCGCCGAGTTATTGGAAAAAGTAAACGCCGCGGAATTATCTCACCCTTGAACTCAACCGGCTACCCTCCCTCCAACTTCTCACGGACATTTCTCGCCCCTCGCCTTTCGTTTTTATCGGTTTCGTACCTTCCGCTTCGCGTCTCGATAACATTCTTGTCGCCCTTTTCACCTTCCTGACTGGCATTGAATATAACAGAGAGGAAGTGTCTATATTTGTCAAAATTTTGTTTTTTTAACCCGTCGCTGTTTTGAGATATCCCAAACTCGAACTGGAGAACACTTTTTACCTGATTATATGTAGTACCGCTGGGGAGGTTCTCCCTTGACCCTTTCGAGCGAGTAGCGTAATATTCCCGATTCTTACACTAATTTTGGGACGTTCTGTATATTGAATAATAAAGAAATAATTTTTATTCCGATTTTTTAAGTGAAATAGTGAAGTAGATCCTAACCGATTGATTACGCTTCTGCTGACTGCTTTTTTCCTAGGACCTCTTCTCTTTCACTGTCTGTCCTTTTGTATGTTCGACGTTCGACTCGAGCCAAATGTAAACACAGAATAGAAACCTCGACTGGATAACTGCAATGTTTGGATCCCGATTTTCTTGCACTTATCCAGTACTTTACTGTATCGTGCCTCCCAACCTAACACAAGGAGTCTTAATACTATCACGAATAGTAGGGTGCGATGATGATAGCCTACAGAAAGCGCTCACATGTTAAAAAACACCCTCTATAATCTCTTCTGAACGAATTTTAGAAACATTTTGTAACCTGTAGGCCTCGCCAAATTCATTCTTCTTTCGCATAGACAATATGTATCTCTGGTGATTTTAAATTGTGAATTAAATCACTCTTTAAAAATAGCAAACTGATGAACCGTTTTGTCTTATTATCAGACTATAATCCATTTAGAATTCATAAGTTAAGTGGTCTTTCCGTCCAAAATTTTAACCTCCTCTCTGTTAAGCTTTCAAAGTTGATCTCTTCATTTAAGTCTCAAAAGTAATTACCATTCAATTATAAAAACAATTTGCCGACCAAGTGAGGAGATATTGACATCGTTATATATTGTTTTGAAACATGAAATTACGTTTACGTTTACAGGCAGAATTCCCTTATGTTGGGAATCGACCCAAAAACGAATATTTGGTTGAAAGTTTCGACTGTATTAAAAAAGGAGAAAATTCAGCAGCTTCTAGATTAATACCAGGAAAGTTAAACAACACAGCTTTTTTTTTTCCGCGAGGATTTTGACAGCGCCGTTAAACGCGCGACGATTCGTTTCGTCGTCGCCCGATGTTATGTATTTTCGTTGTCGGTCGTGTTTGCCCGTCGAAATTCGGTGTTCGCGTTCGTATTGTGCCGCGGACTAATCGGATTCCCTCGTTTCATGACGTCACCCGCGGTTTCTGAATAATGTAACGTCCCCGATTTATGAACCGTTTGAGCGTGGGATTTAACGGCGCACGACAAACCTGTCCGGCTTGTTGTCGAACGAAATATTTATTCTGCGACCAATTGATTTTCCCTGACGTGAATATTACGATTAAACCTTTGGCAGTCCGAGTATTTTTTTATGTCACCGATAAAATGTTACACCTCAAAATTGCGGATAGGATAGACAAATATTCGTAGTGACAGAATTGTTGGAAATGGAGGTACAAGTAAATTTATCTGACCATAATAGCGATTGTATTGAGTTAATTGACATTTTATTTAACGTTTCACTCGCTGGTGTATAGACAGTCGTTTATGAGGATTGATATGAATTTGTAATTAGTTTTGAAGTAATAATACAAAATAATATGAAATTGAAAAAAGAGGGTAGGATTGCTGTATTGGGTTCATTCATAAATAACTTCCGTAACAGATAATCATGTTCTCAGGGAAACTCCTCCAGGTAGCAATTTTTAATGCCTGATAATTATATAATTAATTAAGATTTATTATGTAATATCATCTTCGGAAATAAGTTATAAGTTAATAAACGGTAGTTATTTATGAATCAAACCATTAATATACTTCCTAGGATTTGATATTTAGAATCTCTTCAAGGCATATTACAACTTTAAGTAAACATTAATTATTTCAACATTAACATTAATTATTTACTGGTATCTTTATTCAGATATGTATGTTATCGTCAAATTTAAACTTTGTTCATATTTGACATATTACAACTTCAAGTAAACATAAATTATATCAAAGGGAAGTACAATATCGATGAAAACAAAAACTTTACTGGTATTTTTATTCAAATATGTACGTCATCGTCAAATTTAAACTTTGTTCATATTTGACATTTGTTTCCGTCAACGTCAGTTTCTAAGAAATTGAACCTCGTGCATCAGTTAAAGATGAAAGATTGACTTTAAAATTGTGAAGTTTCACTTCTTTCAACCTTGATTCTGCGGCCACATATCCTTGATCGAGTCGATGTAATCCACATGATTAATTGCCTGGTATGTGATTTGCAGGGCCAGAGTGAAGTCTGGCGTGAAAATCTTGGATGGCTCGTCCAGCGATCCGGATTGGATCGTCGACAGCGATATCAACGCGAAGAACACTATCGCGACGTTCACCGCGAGGAGGAAGGAGAACGTCCCACGAGTACCAAGCGCGTAAGTACGTCACAATTTTGCGAGGAGACATCTATTGTCTCATCCTATGGCATTTCTTAACGGATTAACACTACAGTCCGACACACAATTTTACAGTCACTTCGTGAAATGAATATTATTTTGATGAAAACATACTTTTATTGAAAACAACTAAATATAACACGTGAGAATGGTAATTAGTAACATTTCCGATTAGTAACGTTAGTAACATGATATTAGCAACTTATGACTACAAATACATATGGATGATCGTAAAATTGCGTGTCGCACTATTTTTATTGAAAACAACTAAATATAACACGTGAGAATGGTAATTAGTAACATTTCCAATTAGTTACGTTAGCAGCATGACATTAGCAACTTATGACTCCAAATACATATGGATGACCGTAAATTGTGTGTCGCACTTTCGTTATAAGAATCGCTTATTTCGAAACTTGTATGAAAATTAATTGAAATCAGAGTTACTATATCTGCCATTGTTTATACGAAGTGAGGTATTTAAAAATGATCGCCTGAACGACTTGTCTAATTTTGGCAGTAGGAAAACATTTGATTAATCTTGCTTAGTTTCGAGAAGGTTTCGCGTTGGTTACATCGTCAAATCTGCCTCGATCTAAAACCTTTCGACATTTAAACATACGTTTACTTCATAATTTGACGATACTCTGCATCAAGAAATATCATATCGCCTTTTTCCGTTTCCGTGTAAGTATTTTGGACGACCGAATGTTACAAACTGCTCTTTGGTCGGTAACATGCGGCAGAGTAATGATAAATATAAATATAAAACGTAAATAACACGATTGAATGTTTGTTTACTATAGTTACAGCGATTGTAAGAGTCCCATACCAACAACCAGAGGAAAGTCATGAGAATTTTCGAACGGTTCCTGGAAATAAATTATTTTGCATCCTAGGTGACCTTTGGTGTGCTCAAATGATTTTTAACTATCTTGAATGATCTTTAACTATAGCAAATGGCAGTTTCAGTCAAAACATTAATTAATTTATGAGTATTTAGGTCATTGTATTCATCTTGAAACGTTCTATCAGGATATGTATCATAACTATATAATTTTATTTAAAAAAACATAGTCGATTCTCATATCTCCTCTGGGGTTTCACCGATAAGAAAGTTATTAGCACAAGGTTACGTGCCCCTCGAAATCAAACAACTCTTGTTCGACACTTTTCCTTCTATTGTTTAAAATAAGCGAATTATTCAGGTGGCCTGTTTTAAGTGCCTCACCCAGTATTATCTAACCTCGCATATGTTGGACAAGATTGAGTGTTGTATGTTGTACTTTTAGTGTCAGAAATCTTATTTGAAAACTAAGCAAATAAGGAAGAACGCAATATCTGAAATATTAAAATGCTCACGATATATAGTAACAAACTCATTCAAAACTACTCAATTATGGAAAACAGTTGCTGCTGCTTGTAAAAGCATACCAGTTGAAAGCTGCTAAAATTTCATCTATATTAGAATGATGCCAAGCTGTACTTAAAAATAAAGGTCGTTCCACAGAATCTTAATATCGTTTATTATTGCATATGCAATAAGAAACGTTTACGTCGAAACGAAAATCGTGTAAACTTTTTCATCGTTTCCTCGACACACCAATTATTTTGTCCAAAGCTAGTAGCATTTTTGTTAGGTTAACAGCTCTTGTTATTATTTTTATTGTTAGGTAAGAAATCCTTAGACAATATTCACATCTCCAACCAGATTCACATCACCAATTCAATGGCTTAATATTATATTATATATTGTATTTTACTTGCCTATTAACAAGGTCAGGATTCAAGTCAAGGTTAGGACTCGAGCGGATTCAAAAAAGGTGAATTTAAATTACGAGAAAGCTTTTACTATTAGAATAGCACTGCTGGATTTAATTAATCGTAATTTTGGCAATACGGGTCAAGATACAAAATTCGGTTGTTACAATTATGTACAAGGTTCACATGTATTACTTTGATCGCCACTGTACGCATACAAATAACCAAAGAAATAACCAAAGGGAGGGTTATCTCTGGCCATATTACCTGTTATGCACGTTTCTATTATCCACGAGGGAAAGAGATACAAGGTTTGAATAAGAAATAAAAAAACCGTTGAAGAAAGGAATTCGGCGTTCGTTCACTTTATTGCGTTAATTTTTCAACACAGAATAAGCTACGATTTCGTGCTTAGAAGCAACGCAACGCGTCAAATAAACATGTATGAAAAATCGTAAGGCTCGAACATGATGAAATGCACGCTACCTTGCGATAGCACATACTAAACGCAACGTACATACGTAGTCATGTGTATTACAAATCTGCGACGAAAGTTTTTTTATTCGAACCTGGCTGCCACATAATTCGCTCATTCCCGTTTAAATTCTTCCACCGTTACGTTTACCTCATACTCTTAATTAGACGCGATAATTGGTTTCTTGTTCTCCTCGCTGGACGATCTACTACTGTCCGGATCCTTGCCTTGCTCGCCATCGGCGAACCGCGCCGGCCGCGGCTTAGCTTTATTCTTCTCTTCGGACGAGGAATCGCTTTTCGAATCATCAGAAGCCCCGTCGACATCCCGTTTCCCGCGTTTTACGTCCCTCCTGTTCTTTATATTGCACTTTTTCCCATCGTCGTCGTCGTCGTCGTCATCGTCGTCGCTATCGTCTCTATTTTTCTGGCACTTTCCCTTCTTCTTTTTCTTCTTTTTGTCATCATCGTCGCTGTCGTTACATTTTTTGTTATTCTTGTCGTCACTATCATCATCATCATCGTCGTCGTCGTCGTCGTCGTCGCTATCATCGGCGTTATTATTGCAGTCCTTTCCCTTGGACTTTCTTTTACGATTATTGTCGTCCTCTTCACTGGAAGAACTACTGCTACTGCTGCTACTGCTGCTGCTGCTGCTGCTGCTGCTACTGTCGTCGTCCTTCTTCTTCTTGGCGGATCGTTCTTGTCTCTGAAGAACTTCTTCTTCGACCAGCCTCTCGAGGTTCAGCTCACGGTCAACGTCTCTTTTAGCTTTTCCTTTTGCTTTTTCCTCGCTACTAGCAGATTCTTCGCTCGAGATGTCGGTGGCTGGTTGAGCGACAACGACACCGTCTTTTGCTTTTGCTTCCGGCGCGGTCTCCTGTTCAACGTTTTCGACTCTTTCGACGTTATCATCGTTCGCTTGCGCCACTGGGTGTGCTTCGGTTAATATTGTCGAAGCCACCGCAACTACGGACAGAGCGATTATTAACGCGTTGAAACGCATGTCTACCGCGCGAAAAAGTAAACTTTGTCGTCTCGAATACGCCGATTTCGAACTCGTCGACGCGTCTCCGCGCGGTCTTATATATAGCTGTGCCACCGTGCTACCGATAAGCTCGCGATTGAAAGATGTGACGCATTCGGTGAGCAGTGGTACTCACGGGGAATACGGATGTTGATAAATTGGCGCCGTCGAAGATTAGTTTATTATTAGTTTACGCGCAGAACGCGCGACGAAAATTGCGATGCCACCGCGGGATGATTCTTCTTGGAAATGTAATTCAATGTCGCGGAGTGGATTTTCCTTGCGAGTGGATTGAACGCCTGAGAGACTCTCGTAAGCCCCTAACCTCATTCGTTTTCGTAAACGTTAAACTTCGGGGATGAAAGTATAAGAATTAAAGTACTTGGTAAGCTTGTATGCGTTATACACGCGTACTGGATTCTAGTAAATAGAAAAGCATTTCGAGTCGATTTCAACCCCTTTGACCTACAGGTTATCTCCCGATTGCACGGGCCACAGTAAACAGGTAGGAAGTCCGAACGAAGTATAATGAATGAAACTCGTATTTATTGTTTATGACCCAAATTTCTTACCACGAGTCTCACTCGTCTTTGTAGGTCAAAGAGTTAAGTATAGTATTGTCTCGAAATAAGCAACTCGGTGGGGACCGGAGAGCTGCTTATTTCGAGGGAGGTATGCTATTATTTGGTTTGATTGTGTTATCGAGCGAGGGGTAGAAGTAACATATATAAAAAAAAAATACGTATCGAATTGAGTTACCTCCTCCTTTTCGAAGTCGGTTAAAAAGCAGGGGGTTCCGTGTAACGGCAAACTACATAAAACTAACGGTATTGTTTCGGAAAATACACACGCCAGAGAAAGAGAAAACATTAAACATTTTCTGTGCTCTTTCCGCTAATCTGTTTGGCTTCTCGCTTTCACGGACCTCTCGCTTCTTTTCGGATCTCTCACTCCACGGGCGACTTCAAACAAAAATTATTTCGAGACATTGCTGTGCTTGTTTAGTGACCACGCGTTGCGACTTTTCCGGTCGAATTCGCATTCTGCGAACTTGTTTGCGTAATGAGTTCCATTTAATTTCATTAGCTGCCTCCGCAGCTATGCTTTTATTCTCGTTTTACCGCCTTCGGTGCGTTCTACAACCGAATTGAATATCGTAGCTTCATTATGAATAAATTGTAGTCACATTTTTGTTTGGCTGTTATCAAACGAAATTTTCAATAGACCGGGATATTTTTCTTGTTATTTAAACAGGGATTTCGATAGAGAATATAGTTTTAAACAGATTTTAATTAAGGGTGTTAACTAATAAATTTTATTCTGTACTTGATTTTATTATGTCCAATTAATTCGCAGTACACTACCCGATGAATTTACTGAACTAACGATGTAATGTACGATATGGTTCTCCGGTTTCCGGGTGGTTGTTCGAGGGCGTGAAAGAAAAGAGGTTCCGAAAGCTTTGAGAAGACTGCTCCAGAGACGTAAGAGGCTCCGGGGATATGCAGACGACGTCGTAAACGAACGTTGGAAAAGCGAGCTGTGGTCGTGTGGGCAAGAATTGGAAAGAGATTTTATCGGGTCGCCAACGCGGAAACGTTCGTTTCAAAAGTCTGCGTGCGAAAAAAGAAAAAGTACCTAGAAGAGTAGGGTAACGTATACAGTTGTCGATTCTCATACATCGACCAACATTTCTATACCATTCTGTACTATTCTT